TTGTTATACATAAGAGAGAGAGTTGTTCTTCGGTAGATTCTAAATAATTCAAGCCTGAAGCTTTGGTGGATTTCAGGGTGGCTCATCGTAAAGACAATTTTGAGGTGAAGACGGGTTGGAAGAGGCACATTGAGGTTGGTTCAATTAGGCATGGATTCGCTAGGTAATTGAGAGTATACCTGTGTAATTCCTTTAAATCTTCTTAGTGGATTGTTTTGTGGCTGTTGCTCGTGGTTTTTTAATCACAGTTGGAGGTGTCCAATTGTGGTTTTTCCACGTTAAAATCGTTGTGTTGATTTGTCTTGATTGTTTGATTGGAATTGTTATATACTGCTTAAATTTGTTACATAATCACAAATCAATATCTAGGGGATTTCTAGATTTTTCACTGTTCTCCAATCTCATTCCACATAGATACAAACAATAGATAAACAAATGATGATACAATTCCACAACACTTCTTCCCCATTCAATTATTTTCAAGCTTTACAACATTGCCTCATTACATTCGTAAACAAAATAAAATAGTTCAACAAGTAAGAAACGATACAACAAAAATCAGTTACAAGTTAATTTTTCCCCGAAATTTGTCCTTTGGTACACCAAAACACTAGTCGGTATATAGTCACCAAAATTGCATCAACCACACATATAGCATGGTTTCAAACAAAAGCTTTCACACCCCAAAAGTTTTCAACTTCCCAAAACAGTTCCATATTTGCCAACTCTAGAAATGGCGGGGCGATGGGCACCCAAAACATTTTTCTTCCACATTTGTCGACTCGAAAAATGGTGGGGACGTGGACACCCAAAACCATGTTTTCCCACGTTTGTCGACTCTAGAAATGGCAGGCTTGTGGACGCCCAAAAATATTTTCCCACATTCGTCCGGTAGCATATGTAGATAGGGCAATTGGGCACCTTGACTCCCCGTGCGGGTACCAAATACAATACACAACCCAGCCCGACTCAGTACTCGGACTTATAGACAATTTACCTCCTTTCACCTTTCCACTGTTTTCACCATTATTGTATCATAAAAGAAATTTAATAATGCATATGATGCATGAATTTTTAAATTCTCATTTTCCCCTAATTAATTCCAATGCACAACAATTCCCTCTTCAATAATAAGATTTTTTCATTTGGCCGTCATCACCAGCTTAAGGTGTATATAGAAAAATATTTCAAATCACACCTTTTAACCTCAACATTAAGCAAATACCTTCAATTTTATGTTTTAGAAATCAATTACGCAAAACCCCTTTTTATTGAACAATTTCCAAAACTAAGGTTTATATAAAATTTAGGGATTTCCTCTCTTTCATGAAGTTAAAGCTCATGTTCATCGCAAACAAAAATAATCATCAATACTAAACACAAATCCTTGAAACATTACTCACTTTTGTCTAATCCCTTCACTAACACAAAACAATCTCTCTCTCTCTCTCTCTCTATATATATATATATATATTCACCTATATATACATATATATGATGAGTATCTAATGAAATTACCACATATGAGTTTCAAATTAAAGGTATAACAAGTTAAAAACATCCCTACCTCAAGAGTGGAGGCTACAGGCGAGAATCCACGTGAAACTTCAACAAAATCTCAAAACAATTGGTAAATAGCTTGAACTTGACACGCTCTTCAATTATCTTGATGAGTCTTGGTTGTATCTAAGGCAAAATGTTGAGAAATCAAGGGTTTTGGGAGTTAGGGTTCAGAATGGTTGTTTGAGAGAGAGAATAAGGGAAAAAGTGATGAGAAAATGAGTTGGCTCGACTTTTTAAGTGAGTTGTCCCGAACAGACCGCTCGAGCGAACTTTCCATCGCTCGAGCGAACGACTCAATTTCGAGTGGATTGGTTGAGCGACCTTTATACCGCTTGAATGAAAAACAAGAGGTTCCAGAAGTTTTGCAAAGCTTTAGCAAAAATACTAGGAGCATGAAATCTGTGCTTGAATGACCACTTCATTGCTTGAGCTGTCTTGCCTGCATAATGGCAACCTATTAGGAGCTAAGAATCTTCGCTTGAGCGACCAAATGACCGCTCAAGTAGTTCACCAAAAACAATTGTGACAACCTACCCTCCTAAAATAATTTCGTCTTCAAAATTTCTGTAATTCCTGCCAAAATAATCCCAATAACTCTCAAGAAAAAGGAATGCTACTTTTATAACAATCCCAATCGTCAAATTGTCATCCATTAGAAGTAGAATCAGTCAAACATTCACATTACAACGTATAATTTCAAGTTTTTTTGGTAATCAATGCAAATTCATTGCTTCACTAACTAAGTCACAAGACATTATTACAACCAAGAAGGGTAACAAAATTACACATCGTTAAACAAGTGAGGATATTTTTCATGAACTTCAGCTTTCCTTACCCAAGTGGCTTCTTCTACCCTATGATGATGCCATAGCACTTTGACTAGAGGGAGTCTAGAATGTTCATTGGTCTCTTCTCATAGAAAACATTCTCATCTACTTCAAGGTTTGGCTAATCTAAAACATGGGACAGGTCGGGCTCATACTTGCGAAACATTGAAATGTAAAACAGTTATGTACCCCAGAAAATTGTGGGGGCAAGGCAAGGCGATAAGCAACTTCTCCCACTCGTTCAATGATATCAAAGGGACTAATGAACCTAGGTGATAGCTTTTTGCTTTGGCCAAATCTCATCAAACTTTTTCTAGGCGATATCTTTAAAAACACATGATCACCTACTTCAAAAGACAAGGGTCATCATCCCTTATCTGCATAGCTTTTTTGCCAGCTTTGTGCCGTGATTAACCTCTTCTGAATGATAGCTAATTTTTCTATGGTTTCACGAACAAAATCTAGTCCAAGTATGGGTGAATCTCCTATCTCAGCCCAACATATCGGTGATCTACAAGTATGCCCATTCAAGGCTTCAAAAGGTGCCATCCCGATACTAGCCTGGGAGCTATTGTTACAGGCAAACTCGGCTAACGACAAAAATTTCTCCCATGACTCCTTGAAGTCCAGTACATAGGCTCTCTACATGTCTTCTAAAATTTGAATGGTACCTTTAGACTGACAATTGGTTTAAGGGTGGTAAGCAGTACTAACTATTAACTGAGTCCCAATAACGGTTTGTATGCTTTGCCATAATCGTGCGGTGAAGCGAGGATCTCTATCTGAGATAATGCTCACTGGAACACCATGAAGTCGAATAATTTACCTAACATAGAGTTTTGCTAGATAATCCACTGAGTCGCCCATACACATCACCAGAAAATATGCTGACTCAGTTAGTTGGTCTACTATGACCCAAACGGCGTCATTACCCTTCTGAGTTCTAGGATGACCCGAAATAAAATCCATTGTGATGTGTTCCCACTTCTATTCAGCTATAGGTAAGGGTTGTAACAACCCGGTTGGCCTTTGATGCTTTGCTTTGACTTGTTGGTAAGTTAGGCATTTAGACACAAATAAGGCTACATCATTCTTCATGCCCCTCCACCAAAATTGATGGCTTAAATCACGATGCATTTTTCTGCCTCCGGGATGGACTGCAAGACAGGAGTGATGAAACTCTCAAAGTACGTCATCTCTACAAGATTTTGGTAAAAAATGGCGATCTATATATCAGATACTTGAGTCAGAATGCACTCTCAACTTTTTTTGTTCTTTCCCTTGCAAGATTTCCCCTTTAATTGCTTCCACTTCTGGATCAGTTTGTTGTGCTCCTAAAACTTGCTTGACTAGTGTTGGTTGAGCAAGAATTGAAAACAAGGTGGCTTGACTAGGTGATTCTCCAAGTTGTACAGTGAACTCACTTAGTTCACCTAGCATCTTCCACTCCCTCACGACAAGGCTATTGACCGAACTCAACAACTTTTTACTCAAGGCATCGACCACCACATTGGCCTTCCTAGGATGATAATGTAATTCGAAGTCATTATCTTCCATGTATTCCATCCACCTTCTTTGGCGCAAATTCAAATATTTATGGGAGAATAAATACTTGAGACTCTTATGGTTTGAGAATACATCGAACTTTTCTCCATAAAGGTAGTGCCTCCATAGCTTCAAACCAAAAAGGAATGCCACTAATTCAAGGTCGTGAGTGGGGTAGTTTGTCTCGTGAGTTTTTAGTTTATGTGACCCGTATGCCACAACTTTACCTTCTTGTATCAAGACACATCCCAATCCCTCTCTAGAAGCATCGTAGTACATTGTATAACCCAACCCTCTCTCCAGGATAATTAAGATTGGTGTTGAGGTCAATCTAGTTTTCAATTCTAAGAAAGACTTTTCACATGATTCATTCCAAACGAATTTCACCCCTTTTCTAGTCAACTTGGTTAGTGGTGCCACTAGGATAGAAAAATCCTTCATAAACCATCTATAATACCTGACAAGACCCAAAAAGCTACGAATCTCGAAAACATTCTTAGGTCGTTTCCACTTCAACACTACTTTAATTTTTGAAGAATTTACAGTGACTCCCTCCCTCTCTTGAGACTATGTGGCCCAAAAACTTTACTTCTGAAAGCCAAAACTCACACTTTTCAATTTTAGCGTACAATTGGTGTTTCCGAAGCAATTATAAAACAATGTGAAGGTGCTTCTTGTTCTCCTCTTCAAAAGGTGAATAGATGAGGAAATCATTCATAGAGACTACCATGAACTTATCAAGACAATCTTGAAAGACTCTATTTATTATGTCCATAAAGGTGGTGGAAGCATTAGTTAGAACAAATGGCACCACAAGGAATTCGTAATGGTTGTATCCTGTACGAAAAGCCATCTTAGGGATATCCTCCTTCTTCACTAGTAGCTGATGATAGCCTAATCTTAGATCTATATTTGAGAAGCAATGAGAACCCTTGAGTTGGCCAAAAAGATCATCTATGTGGGGCAAGGGATATTTGTTTTTGATTGTGGCTCTATTTAACTTACGATAGTTGATGCATAACGCAATGAACCATCTTTCTTCTTGGCAAAGAAAGTCGGTGCTCCCTATGGCGAGGTACTAGGGCGTATAACACCCTTGTCTAACAATTCCTGTAATTGCTCCTTTAGGACAAGTAGCTCTGCTAGGGCAAATCTATATGGCAACATGGAGATGGGTGTTGCACCAGGCACCAGATCTATAGAGAATTCTACCACACGATAATGTGGTAACTCCGTGAGATCCTCAGGAAAAACAGTTGGATACTCACAAACCACCTTAGGAAATATTTCTCTAATTGTATTACTCTTATCATCGACAATAGTTGCAAGAAGAAAACTAAGTTTGCCTCGACTTTGCGGGTCATACAATGGTAACAACCCTTCATCGGCTCTATTCCCCAGAAAATAAAAATAGTCCCCCCTAGCGGTACATACAGTAACCCTTCCACGGTAGCAATCTATGATGGCACGATAAGAGGATAACCAGTCCATACCAAGAATGACATCAAACCCGACATCTCCAACAATACCAAATTAAAAGACAGTTGACGTTCAACTACCTCGATTACACACCCATAACACCCTTGATTTAAGATAGCCAGACCCTTGATTGGCGACTCAACCACGATGGAAGATGCTAGTTGTTTTACTTTTAAGCCCAAAGTGGATGCGAATACAGATGCGATAAATGAATGAGATGCTCCAGTGTCTATCAATACGCTGGCCTAAGTGTTATAGATAAGGTAGGTACCTCTTATCACTGATGGTCCAGATGATTGTTCAGTAGCAGTGACTGCATAAACTCGCCCTTGGAGGCTCTATTCACCTTGATCTCCTGTCAAAACGTTGGTCGGTTGTGTTAACTGTGTTGATGCGGCCCGTTGTACTGCCCTTAATGTCTGCCTGGACTGAACTGATTGGTAATTCTGCCTCTGACCTTGGCCTTCCTGATAACTCCCAAAACTTTGGGATCTAGAAGCACTCCTTATCATGACTAGTTGTGGACAAGACCTCTTCATATGCCCTGATTGCTTACAATGATAACATGTAGGCAACTGGCCTCTTCCTTGGGCTTTGCTTTGAGAATGAGTTTGTTGTTGATGACCAGGATTTTGTTTGCATTTGGCTACTTTGTGACCTTGCTGACCACATCTGAAACAAGTAACGTGGGTAGGGCCCATGCTTTTAGAACTTCTCACAGAAACAAACCCCTATAACTTAGCTTGATGGGGTATTGGAAAGAAGAAGAAGGACCTCTAGATTTCTTGGAAGATCCAGTATTACTCCTGGATTCTATGTAACTCGGCCTCTTATGCCTCTATCAAGTTTTCTCAGCCTCTAACATATTCTCTACATGAGCTACAGCCTCCACCAGTCTATCATACTCCCTATACATTTTACCCATTACCTTCATCAAAATTTTGGGCCTCAATCTCTTCTCAAATTCTAGATGCCGACGCTCCTCGGTCACCACAAACTCGGACGAGAAACGTGCTAGACTAGTAAAGGTGGCCTCAAATTCCGCCACTAGGGTGTCCAATTTCCTTAAATCCTCGAACTATTTTCTTAACCTCTCCCTAGCCGTGGGAGGCAAAAACTTCTCTTGGAAGGCGTGGGTAAACGCCTCCCAAGTATGCTCTACTTTGTGTTCAATGAACTTTCACCATTGATCAACCTCCCCTTTTAGTTGGTAAGACTCCAATGCCACCCGAAGCTCCCTATCCTCGAATGTCCAAAATCTCAAATGGCTTAAGGATCTGCTCTAACCATTCATCTGCCTTCATTGGATCGGGTCCACTACTAAACTCAGTTGGATTGGAGCGAAAGAATTCCTTCTTCAATAAGGAACTTTGAGTCTCCCTTTCAATTGTCCTCACCGCGTGCTTGGCGCACAGTATTTCTATGGATTCAGGAAAAGCCCCAGCCATCTCTCAAGCTAATGCCCCCATTGTATCTTGGGTCAGAGGGACTGTCGCATCATTTTGTCTTACCCCTTCTTCTTGAGGAGATAGGTCTTGCTGAGCCGGTATGTCTCGCCTACCCCTGCGTGGCTTGCCATGTCACGCCCTACTTCTGGTTACTCAGATTCCATTACCAAACCATTGTTATAAATTCAATTTCAGAGATAACATGTGGAAACTCTTTACATTTATAAGAACAAATGAATAAAGATTCTCTCATCCGAATACAATATGAATGCAACAATAGTTATAATTAAATAAATTGCAGTAGGCTTACATCTTTTAAATTAAGGGAAACGGTTTAACCCCTTTACATCAATGGCATTCCACCCACAAATAAAAGGCCCCGTGGCCAACAGATAAAGAAGATCCTTGACCTTGATACACTTCTCGACGTTCACTTGAAAAAGGATTAGCAACGTGGGATGAACATAAAGTCCAGTAGGGATCTCAACATGATCCTAAACAATAACAACATATAGATAGCTATGATCAGGAATGCTTTATATCATATCATATACATAATGCGACGGTTTATACTGAACATATACTTATACAGGTACTTTTCTTTAAAATCATTCAATTTAGCCAACAACACAAACAATTCACTTTTAATTAAAAGTTTCCATTTATAAATAACGCATCACAATTGGTTGTTTTTTAAAATACTTTCACAAAACCCGATTATTTCTCATTATTTACGCCCAATACAAAACATATGTTCACTTCTGATACATTCATCACATTCCCTTGGCACTAAGTCCATAATCAAGAAACACTTCAACAACTCGCCTAATATGCTTATGTACATACATATATGTCCTAACACGAACACAAAATCAATACATGTCCAATGATTACTACACTATCACATAAAACAATCCGGCCTCACCCAACCATAACCATCACCTACTCATGATAGATAAGGATACATTGAGACAAAATGAGAAACGAAACAATGCTCTCTAGAGGGAGTCTAGAATGTTCATTGGTCTCTTCTCATAGAAAACATTCTCATCTACTTCAAGGTTTGGCTAATCTAAAACATGGGACAGGTCGGGCTCATACTTGCGAAACATTGAAATGTAAAACAGTTATGTACCCCAGAAAATTGTGGGGGCAAGGCAAGGCGATAAGCAACTTCTCCCACTCGTTCAATGATATCAAAGGGACTAATGAACCTAGGTGATAGCTTTTTGCTTTGGCCAAATCTCAACACTAGTCGGTATATAGTCACCAAAATTGCATCAACCACACATATAGCATGGTTTCAAACAAAAGCTTTCACACCCCAAAAGTTTTCAACTTCCCAAAACAGTTCCATATTTGCCAACTCTAGAAATGGCGGGGCGATGGGCACCCAAAACATTTTTCTTCCACATTTGTCGACTCGAAAAATGGTGGGGACGTGGATACCCAAAACCATGTTTTCCCACGTTTGTCGACTCTAGAAATGGCAGGCTTGTGGGCGCCCAAAAATATTTTCCCACATTCGTCCGGTAGCATATGTAGATAGGGCAATTGGGCACCTTGACTCCCCGTGCGGGTACCAAATACAATACACAACCCAGCCCGACTCAGTACTCGGACTTATAGACAATTTACCAAGGATGCTACAATACATTTCGAAATACTAGGAACATACATTCTAAACAATTAACAAATAATTACTTCAGAAAACATTTCGTTAAACAGTAGAAACAATTCTCAGTTGAACATATCTTTTACACAATGTTACACTCCACAGAGTTTGGGCTACAGGTATGCTAGAGCGTGTCCTCCCCATCGCCAAACCCTACAACAGTTCACAGGTTGAGACACACACTAAGCTACACAGTTGGGGAAATTCATATGCTTAACCCTTTTTGGCCTTGTGTGCTTCTAACACTAATCCTCATTAAGATGCCTTAAACTAGGACCTAAGAATGCCTAGGATGGGATGAGTGCAAAAATACACTTAGAAACAGTTTCGCAAAGTTTGCTGAAAATAGGAGGCCTCGCATCGAGCGGCCTTTCTTCGCTCGAGCGAGTTGTCTCAAAATAAAGGTCGCTGAGCGAGGAAATCTATTCGCTTCGCGGTCTGTCGAAACAGTAACAAATAACTAGAATTACTGAATTTCACGCGCGATGGTCGCATCGATACTGATTCCCGGCGGATCTGAGTAGGTGCCGTAGTCAAACCTTGCTCCGGAGCACAAGGATCCTCGCCTCGAAGCGAGGAATCATTCGCTCGAGCGAGGATTGCTCAGCGAAAGCCAATCTGGACATTTCGCCAGATTTGCCTCCCAAGCTCAAACTAAGCATTCTACCACTCCCAAACTCGACCTCTTGGGCCAAATTCTTGGTAAAACATAAATACAAATAATGTCAATCGTGACAACGAAGTTTGCAGTAAAAGTAATTTCAACGGAATTTCAAGCCCCAAAGTGGTAGTCAATTGAAAACATATTCAAACCCATTTCAAGAATATGAAGAACATTGCAAACATGACAATTGGAGTCCAAACCCAAATTTCACCCTACTAAAGCCTTGTTTCAGATGGACTCACTTCTTCAAGAACATGAATGAAATTCATGGGACTCAAGCCTAATTATGAACATGCCATCGTACAATTTTAGCCAGTGAATTCAACTCAAAAACTCATCAATTCAAACTGCATGCATGAATATGTTCTATACCACATGTATGAATAAAACATAGACTTAACTCTACAATATTGAAAGCAGGAAATCATGCAAGAATTAATTCTAATGACAACAACACGAAGGATGAATGTCCCTAACCTTACGTCTTGTATTCAAGGTTGCGGAGTCTCAAAAGTACAATCTACATTCAAATTACACAAAGCAATTCACAGCGAAATTTGAGATGAAAATCAACTCCTCAAGTCTCGTCTCTCTCTAAAGGTCCGGCAAATGAGCAAGGAAAATGGCTGAACAAATATGATGTGCTAAAGTGGATCAAAGTCTCAAGAAGGCCCAGTAGTGGGCACTAAGAGTGCAATCTGTGTAATTAAATGGCCT